CGCGATTGGTAGACTACGAACCAGGGCTAGGGAGTAGTAAAATTCTACTCCCTGGTCCGAGCATGGATACCAGGGAGTAGCATAATACTTGGTCTGACTTATTAAAATGTGCGCTTCACTTCAAAACTCAAGCATATGTACAAAGCAGCACTTGTACTAAAAAATCAACCAAGAGACGGTAGATAGATAACTACTGTGTCGTTTCTTGGCCTGACCTTCTAGTTTTCATCGCTGCTGGTGTCTCAGGGCGCATCTGCATGTGCGTCAACCTGCAAAACGTCGACATTTTTTCATCTCCTCCAAACTACACTGCGCTTCTTTGATTTTTTCACTCCATAGGCACGATCGACTTCGCCTCCTTCTCGTGCAGTACGACTACCAGAATGGTGGCTGTAGGTGTTTTCGCCTGAAGTTCCCACGACACCTTCAAATGAGGCGAACAAGTAAACCACCACGCATAAAAAATCACTTCTGACCACCGTGTACCGCGTGCATACTGAGTCTGATCTGTGTCGACATGTCATGCAGTCAGATCATGCGTGCTCTTCCCTAGCTAGGCCCTGCCTGTTTCACGAATCCACTGGCCCCGGAGACTGGCGATCTTGTGACGCATCGCGATCGCGGCTCCGCGCGCGGATCCGAGGATTCCGCACCGTATCTGCCGGATAATTCACCCTTTCTGCGCTTCAGTTTTCCAGCCAGGTTGTCGCCTGAAAGTCGACATCAAGGCCGGTTGTTTATTTCATTCAACTTCTCGACGATCTCTTCTGTGATCTTGATTCGTCGGCCGCCACATCGTGAACGACTGCGAGAGAGATCAGCAAACTGGACGGAGCGATGCTGGTGCTTTCTGCACGAGTTTCTGGATGACGCGTTTGCTGAAATTCTGCCAAGGAAACAGCGATTGCAGCGATTTCAATCCGCCAGGAGGCACTCGAGAACGATCGCCCAGGAGGTTCTGGTACTCCGTGACAATCCTCCATCGCAGGGGGGTGTTGATTTCAGCACCAGGCTTCTCTGTGTTGCGCGAGAAGCAACAGGAGTCCTCTGACGACAAAATTTGGACGCAAAATGCTCGAGTCGACTAGCATCCTGAGCCGCTGCCTCCGTTAGAGTTGGAGCCATTTCTTCTTCAACATTGACAACTGAAGGATAGTGTTAGATAGCTGGATAGTTTATTCCGTCCTGAGATTATTTAAATTTGTTTGGTTGACGTTCGAAGCGAAACGCACATTTTAATAAGTCGGACCAAGTATATCGTAAACAATACCGGCGACAGAGAATCTCCCTGTGGAGTCCCATTGTATGTTTCAAGTGGCTGGCTCAGGATGTTGTTTAGCCGTACTTTAATGGTGGTATCCGTAAGTAAGCACTGAATAAGATGTAATTCGTCCCGGTTCACAATAGTCTCCAGCACGTTCATGAGCTTTGGTCTTGAAATAGTGTCAAAGGCTTTCGACATATCAATTCCCAAAATGGCGATATCTTCCTTTACTCTTTGGCATCTTGCTGCCAACCATCTGTGGGAGTACACAGCATCCGCTGTACTTCTCCCGCTGCGAAATCCGCTCTGGCAGGGCGAGAGGTATTGATCAACGGCCGGCTTAATACGCGTCAATACGATTAGAGACAGTAGCTTGCGTAGTGTATTTAGAAGGGTAACTGGCCGCAAATTTGCAGGAGGACCTCTCTTCTTGCCCGGTTTCGGCAACGGGACCAATATACCATCACCAAGCTGGATGCGTTGATCTTTAGCGTAATTATTGAATAATGTGGCTATGTTACCATGCAGTGATTGCGTCCCATACTTCAGGAGCTCAGCCGGGATTCCTTTGGGGCCGGATGCTCTGCCGTTATTTAAACGTTTTGCAGCCTTGGACACCTCAATCGTTATGGATCGGTTCAGTGGCATTTCACTCCTCTCCAACACAGTTGTTGCTAGTGCCTGGTCGCAGAATATAGTTCTGAAGTGTTCCTTGACCGCTTCCACCGATTCCGCAGGTTGAGATATAATTTTGCCTTCAGCATCCTCAACGATAACCGGTGATTGTTTCTGACGACGGAGTAGCTGGGTTGCTTTGAACATCTTTGCGTCATTCTTATTCTTCCTATTTCTCCCACTCGTTCATCAAGCCTGCTCGATGCCATCTTGAGGCATTCCCGCCGAATCTGGTGTGAAATGCGATTGCGTTCTTGCTTCATCTCAGAAATCTTCCCAGCGTCTTTGCAGTTAGTGAGATCCAAACGTAACTTGCGTTTTTTCTCGGCTAGCTGTTCAATGGCATTGTTATAGCCATTTGTATGTACTTTTCTTCTTTTTGGTACTATGCCAATGGATGATGCAGCTGACTCCTTCATAATGCCGATGATCTTCCGGGCATGCTCCTCAACACCCATGTTGTCCATCTCACGGCATGTCAATTCCAGACCCCGCTCGATTGCCGCTTGGTATGCCTCCCTCTTGCTCAAGTCACTGAATTCAGATACACTGAATTTGTCATTGGTCTCCCTTGATATGCATGGCGCATTCAATTTCTTGTAAAGATTGGTCAGGTTGACTTTAGCGAGGACAAGGCGGTGGTCACTCTCCATCTTTGTCCCCGCATATGACCTCGCATCTTCCACCACAGAACGCTCACTATTCCGACAGAATATATAATCGATCTGGTTGTATATGGGTATTGCTGAACCACCGTCTGGGTTGTGACGCCATCCTGTCCATGTTGTGATATGTGCCGCACGGTGTTGGAATGCAGTGTTGCAAGCAAACAGGTGGTTGCCCGACGCAAAGTCAGTCAGAGCCTGTCCACTGTAATTGCGGCGGCCTCTTGAGTGTGTTCCGCAGCACGACAAATCATGTCTCCCCGTAGCTGTAACGGAACGTTTTCCAACTTTTGCATTGAAATCACCTATCACGAAAAGCATGGCTGATGATCGAAGCTTCTGAATTGTCTCCAATAAACTGTTGTAGAATTCATCCAGACAGGCAGGATCCTCCGCAACGCGTCCAGATGTTGGTGCATAAACGTTGATAAACGAGCACAGAGTTCTATCGGACAGCCATAGCTGCAGCACAGCGATCCGGTCAGAGATACTCCAGTATCTGTGAATTCGGGGCAGTAAACTTATTTTTACGGCGAATCCAAGTCCATAGTGTCGAGAGGTCGACGAAAGACACAGGAGTCGATAATTATCAATAATTCCATCGAAGCCCTGAGAGATTTTCGTCTCTTGCAGGCAGCAGAGTTCAGCTCCATATCTTGTTAGGTCACAAAAAAGTTGATTTTTTTTCAAATTCGAATTTAGTCCACGAACATTGAAAGTTCCGACGTGAAACAAGCTACTCTTGTTTCTACGACTGCTACTCAGAATACTGCGGGTCCTCAAACCCACCTGCTCATTAGCGAAAGACATAGGCCATAGGGTTCAAGAACAGAACCACCATGGCTGAGAGGCGTCACTCTCTCATCCATGTATACCAGGTATACGCTTTGCAATCATGTATGACGTAGGGGTCGGGTTGAAGTCTGCCAATAGTACCCGTAACTGGATTCGCCTCGCTATGCGTGGTGGTTATGTGCAAGTGGATTTGTTCGGCCATGAGTGCATTCCGGAGCAGTAGGCTGACTCAGCGGCACATACATGTACTTCGAAGTAATAGTTATCATGTTATAGCTCTCAAAATAATGTTTCACCCAATATCCGACCGCTTTTACTAACCGAACTCCTGACCACATGCGTCCTCCGGCCCACCTCGTTTGCCACACCAGCAGCACGCCTCCAATTATTCAAAAGATTACCGTGCTTACATTCGGCACCTTTCCTCCCGAGTCCCAAGTCCTGACCGATTACCGATGCCCAAGACTGTGGTAAGTATGTTGTGTTCAACCCGACCCCTACATCATACATGATTGCAAAGTTGGGTTTCTGTCAAAATCGCAAAGGTTCGTTTTCAGGATGAAAGTGAATTTTCGTACAGTGTTGAGGTCTAAATCGGATGGTTTGGCAGCAGTGAGTAATCTGGTAATGCCCTGGCAACAACTGTCAGGATTTTGGCATCTCTCCGGAGTCAGGACAGCGACGCGTAGAGTGGATGTCACCGCTATGCCATGCGACCAGTGGACCCATGCATCGTTTTGTGCGGTCGTGTTATGTGCGCATGTGTGTGTTTGTGTTTGTCTGCGTGCACTGCATACCAGTGTTTCGCAGTCGCACTACGATCATGTACAACGCGTTCATACGATCTACCTGATGTACTCCTCGCGTCTTGGCATGTCATAGCATGACTCCAGGAGTAGATCTCCGTTTTGGATGCCCAGATCGCAGATTCAAGAATCTCATTTTCGTGATAACCACCCCAGAGCAACAGCAGCAATGATGAATGCATCGCCGGACCGGAGCGGGGCTAGCCGTCGAGAAAATGAACCAGCATAGCAGGACTCTTCGCAGTTGAATTACTGTAGTTGGCGACGAATGAAGGGAGGACGGATGGCTTAGCAGAGGGGGGGGAGAGAGAGAGAGAGAGAGAGAGAGAGAGAGAGAGAGAGAGAGAGAGAGAGAGAGAGAGAGAGAGAGAGAGAGAGAGAGAGAGAGAGAGAGAGAGAGAGAGAGAGAGAGAGAGAGAGAGAGAGAGAGAGAGAGAGAGAGAGAGAGAGAGAGAGAGAGAGAGAGAGAGAGAGAGAGAGAGAGAGAGAGAGAGAGATAGAGAGAGAGAGGGTGTGTGTGTGTGTGTGTGTGTGTGTGTGTGTGTGTCCCATATGGTGCAGTGGTATGTGCAGCGATTTCCAATCGATAGATTGCGGGTTCGATTCCCGACGATTATGGTCACACACGTCTTTCTTCTCTTTCTCAGACTCTTCCTGACTTTTCTTTCATTCTCCTGGGTGGTTACCAACAGCCAGTGCATGCCGGAGTATGTGGTGTGATGTGTGTGCAGGAAAAAAAATGAAAAGACCAGAAATAGGGATTCACTGGCCAGAAAATGTCACTCCAAATAGCTG